TATTTAAATATGTATTTTTCTAGGAACAGAAAACCTTTTCCCAGCTTTATTGAAATGCAGTCGACCTACACCATGGTGTAAGTTTAAGGTGTAACCGTGATCTGATATGCGTACATGTTGCAAAATGTTTACCACAGTAACATTAGTTTAAAACATGTATCATCTCACATGATTATGTGTATTTATTTTTGAGGCAGTTTTGGTATGCCAGATTCCCTCCCCCGTGCCTGTTCAGACAGACTTTTAGCAATGGTTCTCATCAAGGAATGCGCCAGACCAGCTTGTCTTAAAAGATTCCATTCATTTCATTATTGGCTTACAGCAGTGCCTGGATATTTAGGTGGTAAATAAGCAATGTTTCAATTTTGTAGAAAAGCAAGAAATGGAATTAACAGATCACAGAGGGTAAGATGATAAGTTGGCCTAAAATAACTACTGAAGAAAAATCCAGGCTATTAAAAATAGCAAAAGTAGGGGCACCTGGGTGGCTTAGTCGGTTAAGCGTCCGACTTTCGCTTAGGTCATGATCTCGCTGTTCGTGGGTTCGAGCCCCGCGTCGGGCTCTGTGCTGACTGCCAGCTCAGAGCCTGGAGCCTGTTTCAGTCTGTGACTCCCTCTCTCTCTGACCCTCCCCTGCTCACGCTGTCTCTCTCTCTCCTAGAAATAAATAAAACATTAAAAAAAATTAAATAGCAAAAGTATTCAGCCAGATTATTTCCTTTCCCTTCCCTTCCCCTCTCTCTCCTCTCTCCACTTCTTACTTCTTACCTTTTACCGTGAAAGATAACACCAGTACAGAAAAAACACATTGCCCAATGGTATGTCACCAACCGATCATTCCTGAGAGAACCCAGAGTGCCGTCAGCCTATCAGCTGAAGCAGGCTCCAGGCTCCGAGCTGTCAGCACAGAGCCCAACGTGGGGCTTGAACCCACAAACCGTGAGATCACGGCCTGAGCCAAAGCCGGACGCTCAACTGACTGAGCCACCCAGGCACCCCAATTCCTGGCTTTTTTTTAGCTTTACCACCTAAACTTGCATCGGCGCAGCTTAGCTTTGCCTGTTTTTGGTTTTGTGTTTGTTTTTTGTTTTTGAGCTTTCTAGAAATGGAGTCCTACGGTGTGTGCTCTTCTGGGTCTGACTTCGGTCACTGTGCATCATGATCGTTGCCCACAGCTCTTGTCAGGAGTGAGGGCAAGAGACCAAATAACTCAGACCCACGCAGCCCAATGAAATTCCAGGTTTTCGGTCATTAGTTGAGTCCTTTGAGAGATCCTAGAGTCACAATGAGACAGATGAAGTATTTACTTTTTTTTTTTTAATGTTTTTATTTATTTCTAGGAGAGAGAGAGAGAGACAGCGTGAGCAGGGGAGGGTCAGAGAGAGAGGGAGACACAGACTCTGAAACAGGCTCCAGGCTCTGAGCTGGCAGTCAGCATAGAGCCCGACGCGGGGCTCGAACCCACGAACCGTGAGATCATGACCGAAGCGAAAGTCGGACGCTCAACCGACTAAGCCACCCAGGCACCCCATTTACTTTTAAGACCTCTAGCAGATCACCGCCGCGCCTTCCTGATAGGAACGCTCGCTGTGCTGCTTTATGCCATTCCAGGAAGAAATGCTTGTCTTGGCCACATTTCTGGGGGTGCCACTCAAGGCTGTTGGCCAGCCCTGCCCACAAGGGCCTCTCTCAGAGGCAGGACTTGAAGGGTTTCCACTGGCGAGCATGGGTTTGCTACCGATGGCCTTAGAACTGATGTAGATGTTTCTTTGATTGGATATTCCAACATCTAGTATTTTCTCTGTGTGTTACCAAAGCCCCCGATGTGAAGTTTTATAAAGAAGAACATTACTGTCACATAACACTATGTCTCAACACATTTGAAGGTCTGACAGAATGTTTCTGTGGAAACAGGAAAGCTTGGTTCTTTTTTTTTTTTTTTTAATGTTTTATTCATTTCTAGGAGAGAGAGAGAGAGAGACAGCGTGAGCAGGGGAGGGTCAGAGAGAGAGGGAGTCACAGACTGTGAAACAGGCTCCAGGCTCTGAGCTGGCAGTCAGCACAGAGCCTGACGCGGGGCTCGAACCCAGGAACCGTGAGATCATGACCCAAGCAAAAGTCGGACGCTCAACCGACTAAGCCACCCAGGCACCCCGGGAAAGCTTGGTTTCAAATCATAGCTCCCAGTTATCAAACAAATGATTTATGTTTGCAGAAGTATAAACTGGAAATCGTGGCTGGCCCCGCACAGAGTGTTCCTGCTCCTCTTCAAATGGCTGGGAACGTGGTACAGAAAGTATTAACGGGACGAGCCTCTCGTCAAATGCTGACTTTTCACATCCACATACGCCCCTTGTTGATATCACTAGATAGATGCACAGCCTAGCTTTCTATGCCTGTAGACGTAATTCTGCTAATTTATCCTCGCTGAGTATTTCCCTTGCTCTTTTCCAGATGTCTCTGTGTACATGTTTACATACTGCCTTTTCCTTTTTCACACACCTTCGCACACGTCAGGCCTTTCGATGGTGATGGAGGCAGTCACTGCTATGGATTCCACTCGTTATTCGTTTCTGTCCATCTGGGTTTGCAAAGGCGTTAAGGCCGAGTGGGAGGGCTGCTGCACAGAGAACCAAATGTGCCCCATTGGGATGGGCCTTAGGTCTATGCATGGCCACAGGGGAGGCCTGGCGAGGGGAAGCCGTCCAGGAAGCGGACCTGCCTGGTGCCGGGGCCCATTCTGTGAAGGTGGCAAGGACTGGGTATAGTGACAGGGATATAGAATATCTTTGTGGCCCTTGACTCTCTTCCTGGAGACAGGTGTTCATCTCACAGGAGACTAAGAAGCCAGCTTTGTAGGATTACGGGCAAGATACAGTCACATTTTGTGACCACATGGGCACATGCTTCGGGACCAGGAATGAAGAAAACATTGAGGGCACATGGAAAGAAAGAGCACAGAAGAGATGATGTCTGTGTCTGTAGGTCTGTTTTTTGTGTGTAAGAGTAGATATACAGAGATTGACTCATGATGGCAGATTCACATACAATAAATTCTATTAAAAAGAAAAAATAAAAAAACCCAGGGTGCCTGGGTGGCTCAGTAAGTTAAGTGCCCGACTTTAGTTCAGGTCCTGAACTCCTGGTCCGTGAGTTTGAGCCCCACATCGGGCTCTGTGCTGACAGCTCAGAGCCTGGAGCCTGCATCGAATTCTGTGTCTCATTCTCTCTCTCTGTCCGTCCCCCAGGTGCTCTGTCTCTCAAAAATAAGTAAGTGTAAAAAATAAAAAATAACAAAATAACAAAAAAGAGAAAAACCCTATCTCCGTGTTTTGGTTGACAGTGGAGATTCTGTTTATGGAGTGACTTCCTTTCCCCACCATTACATCCTGTAACTGCTATCCATTATGCATTCTTGTATTATATGCAGTCAATTAACAAATTGGCTGAAGTCATAAAAGGGGAAGATAATATATATTCACAAGCCAGCTGTTCGTCCTTTCAAATATTTCAAGTTGAGCCACCTGTTGCCTCTTCTCTGTTAAGGGGAATGACCCACAGCGAAGTTAATCCTAGGAGACCTGTGCTGGGCTTCCTATAGCTCCTGCGGCAGCCTTCCGCCACTGGGCTCAGAAGGGTGCTTGGAAGTTCAAATACATTTTGAGATTTTTCCCAAGCAAAACATAGTAAGACCAATCTCTTACCAGAAAAGTCGTGGACATCAAAGCCAAATACTGGTGATGTGGAGACGGCCCGTAGTTCAGCCCCCTTTGTGAGTGCTCATAACTGAGGACTGACTGAGCACGTGAACGCGAGCCTCAGCCTTCTGTCCAAAGCCAAGAACAGCACCTGAGGGCCGACGTCAAGTTCTGTTAACTGTCTTCTGCTTCCTGTTCACTGCAGAAACAGGGTTTACATGGAATGAAGTGGGCGAGTTAGGGAATTTCAAGTACTTCTTCCTCTCAGCCATGCATGCACGATTCTCTTGCTTAGAGATGCAACTGTGCATGTATTGTATTTAGCTCTCTCTCTCTCTCTCTTATTTTAAATGTTTGCTTACTTTTTAGAGAAAGAGCAGGGGCGTGAGAGGGGAAGGGACAGAGAGAGAGAGAGAGAGAGAGGGAGGGAAACAGAATCCCAAGCAGCCTCCGTGCTATCAGTGTAGAGCCCGACGTGGGGTCTCGAACTCAAGAACCATGAGATCATGACCTGAGCTGAAATCGAGAGTCCGATGCCTGCCCTCTGAGCCACCCAGGGATCCCTATGTTTACTTCTCTTTGTTGAGAGTTAGGTTTGGCTTGTTTGCTTGTCAGTTGTCACCTGCCTGTTCTTCCCAGAGTAAATTTATCCTTAAGGCTTACCTCCTTTTGTGTGTATTCCTAAGCACTGCTGGGGGTATTTAAAGGACTGGCATTTACCCTATTGATACCCTGAATTGATCGGTCTAAACTGAATGGAATTTGATTGCAAATGTATCTGTTTCTGATACATGTCCCATGTTGCTTTCAAAGGGGCCAAAAATGTTACGAGTTTCAGAGAGAAACTCTCTGTATCTAGTCCAAATCGCGGTGCTCTAGAATGTACTTAAACCAGTAGGAATCTGGATTCCTTCTTTACTATCACATGTGTGGACAGAGAGAGAGCTAAGCCTGGAGATAACAGTTTCCTGACCTGGGGCAGAAATGTGGGAAGAGACAAGGGGCTCTGACCTTTAAATCTATGGCTTCTAGCCACTGGAGCTCAGAAAATTCCATAAGACACTTTTCAGTGAAAACTGTTCACTATATTAGAATCTCTTTTTTCCTTTGCAGACCCTTCCTGTGGCCTTTTTAAATATGTGTTTGAGACACAGTGAACGTAGAAGCTGAAAATGCCTGGAAACTTTTGGGTTTCTGTCCCTCCTTTTCATGCCCTTTTGCACCACTGCCTGATTTGGATGATGTGATACTCAGAGGGACACCTTCATCGAAGTCGCCCTTCAGCGAGGCACCTCTGGCCAAAGACCGTCTGCACGATTCAAGATGGCCGGCCAGCCGCCAGACGGTGGGGCAGAGTCTCAGGTCCCTGACGAGCTCGAGTGTAAGATCTGCTACAATCGGTACAATCTGAAGCAGAGGAAACCCAAAGTGCTGGAGTGCTGTCACAGGGTCTGTGCCAAATGCCTCTACAAGATCATAGACTTTGGGGACTCCCCCCAAGGCGTCATTGTCTGTCCTTTCTGCAGGTTTGAGACCTGCCTGCCCGACGATGAAGTCAGTAGCCTGCCAGATGACAACAACATCCTGGTGAACTTGACTTGCGGAGGCAAAGGCAAGAAGTGCCTCCCAGAAAACCCTACTGAGCTGCTGCTGACCCCGAAGCGGCTGGCGTCTCTCGTCAGCCCTTCTCACACTTCCTCCAACTGCCTGGTCATAACCATCATGGAGGTACAGAGAGAGAGCTCCCCATCCCTGAGCTCCACTCCTGTGGTAGAGTTTTACCGGCCTGCAAGTTTTGACTCTGTCACCACTGTGTCCCACAACTGGACCGTGTGGAACTGTACATCCCTGCTGTTTCAGACATCCATCCGGGTGCTGGTTTGGCTGCTAGGCTTGCTCTACTTCAGCTCCTTACCCCTTGGGATCTACTTACTCGTGTCTAAGAAAGTCACCCTTGGGGTCGTCTTTGTCAGCCTCGTCCCTTCGAGCCTCGTTATTCTCATGGTGTACGGTTTTTGCCAGTGCGTTTGTCACGAGTTTCTAGACTGTATGGCATCTTCTTCTTAACCCGTATGCAAACTAAGAAATCTGACACACATTGCCATCTTTCAAGTTGGGTAATTTATCATTTAATTATTTTATATTCTCTGTGAAGAGTGTCTGTGACGTTAACAAAGCCATTGGCCCAATGTTTGTGGTCTCTTTTCCATCAAAATTTGGATTCCATTGGTTTTTCTGTATGACGGACATAAATGTGTTCGTTTCTACTTAGCTGTCGGCAGAGACACAGAAATGTATGAGTTAAGCCTTCCTAGAGCGCTTCTTTGGAGTCCTCCCACAGAAAGGGCAAGACGTCCCCCAGCCAGGCTAGACAGGGCCCAGGGGCGAGGTGTTGGGCTGTAGTACGGTCTTTGTGGACGTTTAGAGATGAACGGATTTCTCTTGTAATCCTCGATAGTCTGGGGTGGAGGGTAGACACGAGGAAGGCCGTTCCAAGACACAGCCACTTAAAAGTGTGACACCCTCTGCTCCCCCCACGCCCTCCCACACCTGGTTGTCAACACTTCCCAGAATCCTCCTCAGGCGTTTCCTCTCTGAAGTTAACGCCACTACCTGTGGTCTGCTGCCCCAGGGAGGGGCTCGTTCCCTCCGCACAGAGGAGGAAATTCCTCTTTGCCAAGAGGAAATGGGCCTCGTGCTCTTGTGTGGTTTCAATTAATTACCTGTTTTGCCACATTACTGAAGAGAAACTAAACCCACCGTGGACTCTGCATCGCAGCACACTTCATGACAGAACATGGCGGCTTGTCTTTGAGACATGCCCTTTCCTCCACATTTATTTTCCTCTCACCTCAGTCTTCTCGGAAGTTCTCACAGCCCACTTATTGTTCAGGGAAACCTTCGGTGGGGTCTTTCCCTAAAACATTTTAGTTGAGTTTTGTCTTGTCTACCGTCTTGTTCAATGAGCCCTACCCCACACCCAGAATGAGGTTCCACTTTTCCCCATTGTATTTCACATTCCAGTGTGGATTCTGGAACTTGATCCTCTAACAGTTTGGGGTAGATTGTGACAGTGGAAGCCCAGAAACAATTGTTGAGATGCTCTAGCTCACGGTTTGAGGTGCCGAGGACTGACGTATGTTGCTGTACTGTACTGAATCGTGACCCAAACATGGTGGTTTAGGCTCATGTGCAGTAGGCCAGGCAAAGAGACGGGCCAGAAACGCGCAGAGCCAGTGCAAAGCTCGCGAGGACCCTCCCAGGAATTAAGAAGGAAATGACAGAGCATCACTTGACGTACTGCTGTTCTTGTCGCTAGTCCATTTTAGAACGGATTCATGTTCTTACATGATTTATTTCAAACAAAGGCATAAGCTGTGTGACTTGCATTCATGTGATGTAGGGGAAGTTGAATGTATATATTTATGAGAAAAAATTGTTTAGCAGATTTTAGGTGTGAGGAAATAGAATGTCCACAGAAACTAGGCCAAATGTTTAAAAAAAACTAAACAAAACAAAACTCTTCAGCTCCTAAAACCCGTTACTGATGATTAACATTAAAATATTTATTACTCTTAGAAAAGGGCATTACTAAGACTATTTCAAATTGTTGCTGATGAAACATGCGTTGTGTGACAGTTACAGTGGGTCACTCCACATCTCCTAATCCGGGAAGAGTTGATGCTTATTTTCAGAATAGTAGTTCGATTTTAATCATATAACTATTGACTTTGAGAATATGTACACCCAAGGTGAGTATGCGTGGAAAGCATACGAGAGGTGTGTGGCCCAATGAATTGGAGCCCCAAGTTGTAGCTCAATACATTTATAATTTCATAAAACCTAGTTTAGATAGCATAGTGAATGCAGTTTCTGAAAACCCATTTTTACTTAGAGTAAATCTAATGTTTAGGAGGTGTTTTGTGGTTCGGATTTATATATTTGTAAGGTTCTTTTTGTAAAAAAAATGTTCATTCTGTCTGAAATGTACCATCAAATAAATTGGTGAGTAATAATGACGAGATTTCTAGAAAGCTCTGGATGTGTGTACTTTGTATTTTGCTTATTTGTATAATGTCTGCAGTGCTAAATTTGTGTTTCTTTGTATATTGTGATAGTCTTCTTTTTAGTTGCTGGTAACTGCATTTGGTTCTAAAGAGTTTTAAATGTAAGACAGCAAAATCTCTTCATGGTGTTGAATGAAAATAGGACAATGCTTCAATGTTTTATCCACTGTGATAATATTTTGTTTGTCCATTAAATTGTTAATGTCTCCACACCAGAAGTGTGATTTCTCTGACTCATGGTTGAGACTCAGTTATTACTTTGGACTTCTGGTAATGTTAATCTTTGCAAACCTGAGCTTTCGGAAACATGGATGAAGCTAGTGCCTTCATCCTACGTGTAAAGATTGCAGAACTTTCCCACAAAGCTGATCTAACCTGTCCCACCTCTAAAAAGCCTTCTAGTTAAAAGAAAATGGACCAAACCCAAAATCAAAAACAAATCAGGGAAGGAAATTCAGGAAGCTGAAACAAAATCATTATCTTTTTCTTGATAAATAATTTTTTTTGGTTTTAATGTGGTGGATTAATTTTCCAGAATCGCTGGTCAGCAGAACAATGTCCATTTTTGTGGGGGAATAGCTAGCCTTCTGTGATCTGGACAGAGTTTTAGAATGACCTGATCTTTAGCTATGGCCTTCATTAGGCAAAGTGGAAATCACGTGGGGATACATAATGGTTCTGTGTTTACGTTAGTTAGTGAGTTGGCACCACATGTTAATCAACAACGATGGTTCCCTTCACTTCTGAAATTTTTGCACAAATAAGGATTCCGGTTAAGGAAATGCATTACCTGTGCTAGTCATAACTTAAGCGAGCCAGGCTTACCTGCCCAGAGGCCCACAAGTGATGAGTATTTGCCTGGTTTTAAATGGACACCCTGACTTTGAAGACAGCAATCCTGATACGCCATCCAGGTCGACTCAGAAGCCAAAGGAATCCCGTACTGATAGATAAACTGATACCGCAGTATTGGTGCCATGTCTTCGAGTCCCGGAGTATAGAAGATGTGGGAAGGCGTTAACCTGAGTGTCATTGGAGCACGCTACAGTCCTCCCTGTTTCTGCATTTTTTTTGAGGCTTGTTCTTTTTCTCCCCACTCTTCTCGGAAAAGAAAAAAAATACTTGCTTTAGTTCTTTTTTTAAAAAAATTTTAATGTTTATTTTTGAGAGAGAGAGAGACAGAGTACAAGTAAGGGAGGAGCAGAGAGGGAGGGAGACGCAGAATCTGAAGCAGGCTCCAGGCTCTGAGCTGTCAGCACAGAGCCCGACGTGGGGCTCAAACCCACGAACTGTGAGATCATGACCTGAGCCGAAGTTGGACGCTTAACTGACTGAGGCACCCTGGTGCCCCAGATACTTGTCTTAGTTCTTTTGCAACGCCGCAGAAGCAGCACAGACTATTCTAGAGCTTTCCTGAAAACCAATGGGAGGCTTGGTTATAGGTAAGATCTCTGAAAAAGGTTCACTATTTGCTCAGGAAGCTTGAGTCCAGTGTATTTTCCACATCTCTGCCCATTTTTTAGATGTTTACTTCTTGTGACCTCACTTTATGAACTTTTGCTCTTCTACGAGGACCTCGAGGCTTCATGTTGGGTCTCCCCTGACAGGTTTACTTTTGTGTAAAAGATCTTTTTTTTTTAAAGAAGAATGTGCATAGCTGGATGTTGGAATTTGCATAAATTCCTAGTGACTCCTGGAGGCAATACAAATTCAAGTCAGTTCCTTATATCCTGTAAATTTGTGGTATAATCCAGATCTCAACTAAATGTACTCAATATACAGATATTTATGGTTTTTAGGGGTGCCTGGGTGGCTCTTTTTGTTAAGGGCCGGACTTTGGCTCAGTCGTGATCTCATAATTCGTGGGTTCTAGCCCTGTGTCTGGCTTCTAGCTGATAGCACGGAGTCTGCTTGGGACTCCATCTCCCTCTGCTCTCCCTCTCTCCCTCTCCCCGCCTCCCCCACTATTTTCTCTCTCAAAATAAATAAACTTAAAAAACCCCAAAATCCAGATATTTATGGGTTTTGACATGAAGGTGCTTTAAGCTTAGTGATTAAAAAAAAATCAAACAAATTATGCCCTGCACACTGTGTATTCTAAGTAGCGGTATGTGGTCATGTATTTTTTTTTAAAGTGCTTGAAGCTTGACTTAACGAAAACCTTCCATTACCTGGGACAATTACTCTACAACCATTCTGAATTAGCCAGGAATTTATTGGATTTGCACCCTATTAACATTTTCCCTTTCTGCTGAGATGGTGGGAATTTTATAAGAGGAAAGAACGTGCTCTGACTTAGTAGGTCCATTTGGATCTTGGGTTTCCCATGAAGTTCAGTGCTTTAGGTAAGAAAGTTTTGTTCAGCCATTCAGACCCATTTGCCACAGACAAGTGGTCTGGCCGGAAGACACACATTTGAGTCTTTGGCATTTCAATGGCAACTGAAGCTAATGAAGTAGAGAAGTGGAGAGCAGGAAGGAGAAGAGGTCAAGGTTGAGCTCTCTGAAGTTCTAACTGAATGATCCATAGAGGAGCCGGCAAAGGGATTGCATTGGTACAGCCAGAGCCTGAGGAAAGAGAGGTACAGATTAATTGTGATTTTTATTATTTTTTAATTTACTTTGAGAGAAAGTGTGAGTGGTAGAGGGCCAGAGAGAGAAGGGGAGAGGGAGAATCCCAAGCAGGCTCTACACTGCCAGTATGAGCCCAATGTGGGGCTTGAACTCACAAGCTGTGAGATCAGGATCTGAGCCAAAGTCAGATGCTTAACTAACTGAGCCACCCAGGTGCCCCTTTTTAATTTTAATTTTTAAAGTTTATTTATTTATTTAGAGAGAGACAATGAGTGAGCAAGTACAGGGGGTGGGGGGACAGAGAGAGACACATCATGGCCAGTGCAGAGCCTGATGTGGGGCTTGAACTCACAATGGCAAGATCATGACTGAGCTGAAGTCAGATGCTTAACCGACTGAGTCACCCAGCTGCCCCAGTGAAGATAACTTTATTAACAAAAGGCTCATCCAGTTTTTCTCATGGAGAAAAAACTCAGAGAATTGCCTAACTGTCACTGGACCACTTACCACTTTGAGTCCGCACTTAACCTTTTGCCGTCTTTGTTTTTTCTCTCTCCCCTAAAAATAAGAGACTTCCTCTAATTTGACTAAGCTATCATCATTCTAAGACAATTAAAAATACTTCTCTAATCATTTATGCAGTCTCGTCAAATTTTCCTATTCCCAAAATATCTTTTATAGCTCAAAGCACAACACGCAAGCTGGTGGCTAATCAAGATTCATGCATTGCATTTGGTTACTATGTATTTTATTCTCTTTTATGCTGGAATGGTCAACCCACTTTGTTTTCCCTTGACATTGAAGACTTGAAGAAAGAAGGCCCATTATTTTGTCAATATCCCACCTTCTGGATGTCAGCTTCCTCGTAGTGGTGAGGAAACAGAAATGCTGCTTCTATCACTTGTATTTTGGGTAAACTTAAAGTTAGGTATAGAATTTTGATTGCATTCAGATTTGGGGCAAGCAGTCTTCTGAGATGGTCCTGTGTCCCTGGTATTGAGTCACACTGGGAGGCGCGATTGAAAGTTGGCTCTCCCGTTTCAAGTGCCTTCTGATCCCTCAGCTAAGGTGGGGACATCCAGGTCTGTCCATTTCCCCTGTGCAATCAGCAAGTCATCTACGAGGGGATATTTGAACACCATGCAAATATCATCTTACTTGACAGTTTGTTCTGGATCATCTTAGCATCCAGTGAGGATCCTTGCTTAAATCAGTTATTTTATTTCCCCAAGATTTGGAATGTGTTACTTGGTGAGAATGGATTTCCCACTCACTGGAAGATTTCAGGAGAGAGGGGTCCAGGTTACCTATTGACAAGGATGCTGTGGACAAGGTAGAATCATAGGAACCTATGCCTGTCTAAAGCTTCAGGGAATCTTTAGGTTGGAATGTGTCCTTACAGTCGTCAATTACTGAAGGAATAAACTGAAAAGGATAACATGTGTTTATCTCCTAATGTACTTTCTATAATCTCAGAGAAGAAACTTGAATCTGTGAAATAACATTAAAACATTTTTAAAGTCTATATATTTTTGAGAGAGTGAGCAGGGGAAGGGCAGAGAGAGAGAGGGAGATGCAGAATCCGAAGCAGGCTCCAGGCTCTGAGCTGTCAGTGCAGAGCCTAACTTGGGGCTTGAACACACAGACTGTGACATCATGACCTGAGCCAAAGTCAGATGCTTCACCAACTGAGCCACCCGGGCGCCCCAAGAAATAATGTTTTTTAAAACTTGTAAATAGTGTGCTTGGCTAGCTTCAAACCTTCAAAATACCATCTGCATATTTAACTACCCATATGAAACACATTATTACTCTCTGGCTTAACCTACTTAACCAGCTCGCTGGTTATCTTTCCATCATGTGGGGCTACTTATCATTTCCCTGAAGACTGCCTATTCCTTTGGCTCAGTCTTTGTCAGATCTTCTTAAACATTTCACTTCAGACAGCTCTATTTTCTTGTTTTTTAAGTAATCCTCAGTTTATCTTCGAGTCATCCTGTTTGGCCAGCATAATCTCTCATTTATCATCTGACCATTTTCCCTCTTCTTTTGAGGAGAACTCTTCCATCTCATCATTTTGGCTGTTTTCTATCTTTTACTTGTTTTGATAGCTTGTTATGTGCCCTGCACCTGTGAGCACTGCCATATTAAAAAGGGGTCACACACTGTCCAGGATCTGGCGTTTCAGGAAGTGTTTTTGAAGTGTGTTGAGTGCACCCTGTTGTTGTGTCTCTGGTTGCCTCATCTCCCTACTCAGAGTGCTGGTCTAGACCTTCCAAAGGTGTGCTTTGATTTGTTCATTGAAGTAACCCTGGAAAAAAATGGAAAAGGGGGTGGGGTGGACTGGAAGAAGCCTTATCCCATACAAAGAGAGAAATTAACAGGGGCAGGAAAAAAAAAAAAGAGACGAGGCAAAGAATCAAAGAAACTGTAAGGCTTAATCCAGAGAGAGAGAGAGGAAAATACAGGAGGTACAGAAGATGTATAAAAGAATAATGCACGATTAAACAAACAACCAGAGCAGAGAAAGAAGAAAAAAGAAAAAATATATATGTAATAAGAATTGGCCAAAGATCAAATCAGAAAATGTAAAACCACTGGACAGTTGTCTGTTGATGCCTGGGACCCGTGGCTGTGCT